CAGCCAATTACGCAGTTGGATTAATTAAGGGGAACGATGACAAAGGCCTAATCTTTTTGTAAGATAAAACTAATGATTATCTCATATATCTATATATCTTTGATTATTCTGGCAATTATTTTCTCAATTAATAGATTTATTGTTTGGTGTATGAAATGTATGAAATAAAAGAAGTTGAAAAACATGCTAAAGCCCAAGATAATGGCTTACAATTGCTTGTTTTGTCAGACTGACTGTTCAGAACCAACAAATAGTCAGCTGACTATCATATAAGACAAAGAAATTCAGGAAAAATCTTCACAAGTGAGGAGTCGGAAATAGAGATCACTTGGCATTTTTGCTTGAAAAATAACTTAACTTAACCAATTATGAAAATAATTAGCCAATATTTTTGTATGTGCTTCGATAAAATATGTTTGACAGCTCTTTGTACTCCGCATTAAATAAATATAACCTGTAACCACAGCTTTCCACTCATTCTGTGTTTTGTATAGTATCTGTGAAGAGTGGAGTGTGAGGGAGTGCTTCCCCCCCTCCTTCAGCATGACCAAAATATTGAAGTTCAATTGCAGTTTACAGCAGCAGCACTCTAAAGCTGTAGTGCACCTGCACCTGTCTAGTTCATGATTGACATGTCCAATAAAAAGCTACACAGCAAAATAGCATTTTTTAAATTAATAACATTGCACTGCAGATCAAGCCTATGCTTATCTAAACCTGTATACCTCATTAATATTCCTAAACAAGCTTTCAGCTACTCTAACATTGCACAGTGATAATCAAGGACATGACACACACTTTATATGTGGGCTCTGAAAGCAGACGGACTGCCCACCACTCACAGCAATTTCAAGTAATAAAAATATTGACCATATGGTGGAAAGTGGGTGTGCTGTTATGGTAACGCATTTTAATAAACTGGATTAGGACTGCAGAAGGAAATAACATATTTCTCTTTGTGTCTATAGAGATGGGACACACAGAGCCTTGCTGCAGTGGTCATGGGTTTTAATCCAACCTGTGGCCCTTTGCTGCATGTCATTACCTCTCTAAACCTTTCCTGTCTATCTTTAGCTGTCCTGTCATTAAAGGCAAGAAGCCATATTAAAAAAAAAACGTTCCTTTTTTTTCTTAACAAGAACAGTTGAATCTGTATTTGCATTTCAACATTTTCTTACGCCCCTTTTTTTGACACAAAATAGTAAGGTAATCACAGACGTTACCAATGACACTAATTAAGGTTCTGCTGCATTTAGTGTAGCAGAGTCTTCCCAGTGAGCAAACATGCACAATAGTAGCACCCTGACTCTGTTTGACCTGAATGGAACAGGACCTTAATTATTATCATTGGTAACACCTGTTTTTACCTTATGTCATGGCAAAATGGGAAAAAGGGTCTCGCGCCGATACTGATGCAACAGATTGAATCGGTGCTTCTCGGTGGAATGAGTTTGGAGGACATCACCTACTTCAGCTACCTCTGTTGACTAGACAGTATGGCCCTCATCCCCTCATCATGTTTCTAATTCTCTCTAGAATCTCCTATAAATTATGGCCAACCATTTTTCCCAGCTGATCTGACTTAAACAGTGCAACAGAGCACAGTGACTTGATCCGGCTGCCACAGTCGTGACTGCATGACATCATGCAATGTAACAATAGGCCTCGTACTCTGTTACACGTGGAGATTCCCCTCAGCACTCACAGCTTTGGTGTCCATATGTCTCTGTCCTGTGCCTCCAATAAGTCAAACTCAAACCCATCAACAGAGCCGTAGATCAGGTAGCACTAGCGTGGGTGCAGTTCTTATTTGTGCAAAGCAAGGTCACGGAGCCACATGGATGCTGGATCAATCAGACAGATTAATGAACCACAACCTGCTGACATGACGAATATTGACACCCCTATTACATCTTGGTCCTGCAGTCGTCACCACTGCTTAAATAAATCAGGTCCAAGTAGAAGGAGGCAGGTAAACTCCTGAACCTAATCCTTCACATGATAAACAGAGTACAAGAAGAAGAAGCTTACATTTATATATATATATAAATAATGAAATGAGGCTCTCCCTGGAAACACTGAACTCCAACATGGCACAGAATTTTAATATCTTGTGCTTTTGGACTTTTAGTTTGACAATACAAGCAACTGAAGCCTTTGAGGAATTGTAATAGAAATATTTTTCACTATTCTTCAATATTTCATAGACTAAAGATGAATCAAGAAAACAACTGGCAGATTAACCTTCAATGAAAATAATGTAGTTCCAACCCTAGAGCAAATGTTTTGTAATTACTCTTGAAAAATTACTAAATCAATAATAAAAATTGTTCAACTTATCAACTAATCATTTCAGCACATCGGGGCAAAAGCATGGTCTTGGTAAGTCTACGCAGCATCACAGGAAATGAAAAGATTACCCCAAAAAATGAATTAAACATCATATATATCGGCCCAGTGTTCTGCAGCAGATGGAAATAACTACGCCGTTTCTTCCACCAGAATGAGCCGCTTTGCTTAAACGCTTAAAGCACCTCCAGTGTCATGATGCCCAGATTCTGGTTGTATTTCTGACAACAGGGAGTCAAAGTGGGCCAGAACAAATGGCATCCTCCATTTTTAATCAATAGGAGGATTAACCTTTGCTATCAGCTGCGCCTCTCCCAGCAAAACGTGGAGTCAAGATTTAGGATTATACCTGTGAAGACATGCTTTAGCTCATTATTGGACTTATATCTTCAGACCTGTATGACACTCAATATATCACTGGCATTAGGTTACCATTAATGACTCAGTAATCCTTCAAATCTCTCCAAAGAAATGCACCTCATCATGAGCCTTTCTGGAAATAAATGTATTTGCAGAGGTGTCTTTGGTAATGATCCTCCATATTTTTAGAGACAAGCTCTCCACTTCCGTGCCCTCATCAAAGCTGGTCTTCTGAAGACTTAGATATAAGTACGACAATGGTGATTCTCATTATTTCACATGTCATATAACTCACACACGGTGCAAAAACTGTCTTACTGCCCACTGTGGGGCTGCAGCGGTATACTGATACATGGTATGCAGTGGTTAAAAATGTACGGTTATCATACGGTGTATCTACCGTATTAAATTCTACCCTGTTAGTGTTATTAAAAAAAAAATTCTACTATTTTAGTGTTAGTAAAATCCAGTTTTCATTCTTTTAAGGGTCATTGTAACTGATAATAACAATAAATGGTGTAATACCGTATACCGTGAAACTGTAATATTCTCTGAGACACGTGAAAATCTCATGCTGTTAGTGCTACGACACTGACCAGTAAAAGCACAATAATTTGACTGCTAACTAGTTTCAGATTTTCGATTTTATTAATTGACCCCAGGGCTGAAACATTAGTTGATTTATGATTTAGTTGATCAACATGAAAACAAGTTTGATCATCAAATTATGATGTAGTTCAACTCATGTCCAATCTTTAAACACTGGTAATCCAAAGGGCTTTACAGCGCACAGAGAAACAACAAGTAGAGGACAAGAAAAATATTTAATTAAAAAATAAAAAATAAAATGCTGACAAAAGAGACAACAGAGGAAATTTATAGAGACAAAAATTACAAATATTCTCTGTTTACAGCTTCTCAACTGTAAAAAAAATGTTTTCTTTTGTATCATTTTTAACTGAATACTTCATAGTTTGGGGGCTGTTAGATTAACAAAACAAACAATCTGAAGACATCACCTTGGGCTCCAGGAATGTGCTGAGCATTTTAAACTATGTTCAACTTCTGTCGACTAAACAATTTATTATTAAATCTCAAAGACAATCAGTATGATCAATAATGAATGAATTAGGTCAGTTCATCCCGTGAGCCTTAGTATTTATTCTAACTGTACCTCGCTGGTTAGTAGGTGAAATAGATTGTTATTCCTGGAGACAACATGGAAGCAAATCCACACTTTCACAGAGCAGGACCATTTATGAGCCACGTTATAGCCTTATCTCAGCTGACTGCATTACTGAGATGGTCCCCAAATTGATACGCATCAGGCAGGGGATCCATACTGGATGAGATGTAGTCTGAGGGATACTCTTACCTGATAAGATTTAGTTATTCCATAACTGTCTTTACTGGCAGATTAACGGTTAATTAACAGAAACTCATGAACAAAACAGTCTTATATATTCTGTCATTGGGCAAACTTTTAGTCAATGAAATATTATGGAAATTAAAATATTCCCCAGGTTAAGAACCACTGCTCTGGTTCAATGCTGTAACCAAATATCAACCACACTCTCAATAATGCCTTTTTACAATGTATTTATTATTACAGCCAAGCTTGTAAAACATTATACAGCTTCAGTTTATGGTTAAAGAAAGGGGCAAAAAAAATCTCAAAATCAGTCACATTGTGTGCCTCCATTAATGTTCTCTGTGCTTTATACCATACATAGACAATAACTTTGATTAATCCTGCTTATCCTCTAGCGTCCACTTGACGTCGAGAGCAACATTTTAACAACAAGCAGCATGACTAATGAATGCATAAATGTGACAGAATAAACACCTTAAAGGAGGGGAGGGGGCAGAACCTCAGAGGCTCAATATGACGCCATAATGCCGATCGATTAAACCGATGTAAAAGCAGCACATTGATAAGTTGTTCTGTCAGCTAACTTCATGTCACATATTGACATAAAAGTCAGCTAAGTGGACAAACACAACGCTTCACATGACACCAGCCACAGCGCTTTGTGTGTGTGTGTGTGTGTGTGTGTGTGTGTGTGTGTGTGTGGTGATAATATATGTGATAGGCCGTCAACTCTTACCCCACTGTGCCTCACTGTAAACTTCCTGCAGCACACACACACACACACACACACACACACACACACACACACACCACACAAGCTAACGCTAACTACGGTTGTCGGAAGTTAGCTCCTGTGAAGTGAAAGAGGAAGACTAAGAGGAAGACTAAGAGGAAGACTAAGAGGAAGAAAAAAGCGTACCGGGCTCTAGCGTCGACGTCCGTCCTCCTTCAGGCCCGCTGAGCCGCTGAAACACGTCCTAAAATCCGAGACGAAACTTGGGGGCTTCCCTCGGTTGTTCTTGTTGAGTGGGTAACCAGGAAAGCCTCCGGTTAGCAACGAGACCTGTCAAACAATGGCGGCGCCAAGTACGGCAAGCGGGAGGCCGACATGTGCTTTTTGTTGACGTTTTTTTTTAGCGAAGCGTTTAGGAGGGTTACGTTTTGGCGCTGATGGTCAGAGATATTTACCCAGTGAATAAGAGAAACAGACAGATTTAGAGCGAATAAACGTACAAAGGGTGATGAATTATCGTGAATGTGGTAAACCAAACCTTTAATAACACTAGTATAATGTAATCGGAATCAGAAATACTTTATTGATCCACCGGGGGAAATTTGTTTGTTACAGTTGTTCTACTCACACATGTTAAACAATATAAATAATACTTATATTACAATATCTAACACAATATATAGAATAGAAATGTATGTATAGGTGTACACATATAAGTAAAAAGAATAAAATATAATAAGAGCCTAAGAGATATAATAAGATAATAAGAGCCTATATACAAAGTAAATGTCATTAAATGTAAACATATTCCACGGTATGTGCCGACAGAAATAGATATAACAACAGTAACAATTATTATTAAGCAGAATGGCCCTTTTCACAGTGTTATTATATTGGATTACCATAGTGACACATATAGGTTAAGCAGCATTGAGGCAGTTAAAATATTTCTGTACTGTTGGGAAATGTAATCACAAACAATGCATTATATTTTAATTTATGTACAATCTGCAATTTCAGGTGTTAGATAGATTTATTAAAGTAATAGCTACAATGTCATCATGTGTGTATATTCTGATAGATAGAGGATTGTTCTTGATTATTTGTTTGTGCACTTTACAATGAGACTATAATGCCTGTAAACATCCAATGATTCACACTCTGACAGCATGACGACGGAGCAGGAGGTGTTTATGTCGACTGTTTGGGTTTCAAATGTTGAGTTTAGTACAAAATGTCCTAATACTCCAGATTGGACAAATTTGATAAATTAAGTTTTTAGTTCTCATCTTATTCCACATGGATCATTTTCTTTTATTAATTATACAAAAATATATAATTTTAACCTACTGGAGCAGCTCACATCTTTCTTTAAAGTTTTAACTGTAGCAGTTTTTAAAGACCCACAAGACTAATTTCTGTCCATCTGCTGTATCTATCAGAAGTCGTTATCCTATTATACGACGATCATTATTCTTCTACAGTTATTTAATGGATTCCCTTCAAATTCTAGTTCAAATTAATACAAGACTATTATGTAAATGGGTTGATGAAAGTTGCATGAGTTGTCTTTCTCTGAAATTCCAAAAGAAAAATTTCCACAGAACATGTGCAGAGTATTTGGCCTCATATGTTTCTCACTAAGCATCCACACAAGTCTTTCTTTATCTCATAGTGGAACTAAATGTACAGTAGTGACAGTGGGGGAGAAGTAACACACAATACATTAACTCAAATACTTTACTTATGTGCAATTTTAAGGTTCATTACTTAAATATTTTCCATTTCCACAATGTTAAGGGAAATATGCTATTATGTTATATTCCTTTAAGTTACTTTTCATTAAGATTTTATGTCAGAAAGTACTGTTGATGCTTAAACCAATGCTTCCCAGCCTTCCCAACTTGCTCCTTATCATATCTCATGAGTTGTTATTAGTTCCACCAAGAAGGGCGTTCCCCTCTAAATTTCTCAGATGGTTTCATTTGAAAAACTGTTCAGGGTGCAAAGAGGTAAAATTACTGAATATGAACTTTTTTAGCAGAACTTTCTTATTACCCAGTTAATAATAACTCAACCCCTCAGATTTATCTTTGCCCGATCTAATTGTACAATAGTTCAAACTAGCTCTACCTCAACAATCTACTGTCTAATATCATATCCAATCCAATCCAATCCAACTTTATTTGTTAAGCACTTTAAAAACAACCAAAGTTGACCTAAGTGCTGTACAGGAGAATAAATAGGACATCATAAATGTAAACAGTGATGGTGATGATGAAGACCACTGTGAGGAATATAGACAGTGATGATGATGATGAAGACCACTGTGAGGAATATAGACAGTGATGGCGACAACACTGGAAAGTTCCCGTGGCAGACAACACGGACGAAGTCCGACGGCGACGAGCTCGATGTCCGGGCTGCAGACGCTCTTTCACACAGACGTGCCCGGCGTTACACCACCTGTTGTTTATGAGCACGGACAGTCCCCCTCCTTTCTTCATGCCGATCGCGGTGGTGTCCCTGTCGGCTCGAACCGTCCGGTATCTGCTCGATGATTGCAGGGATGTAGGGTTCAAACCTCCTCCTCTTCATCCTCCAATTAACCCCCACTCTGCAGCCTCACCGTCTCCTCCTCAGCTCCTCCGGTATGGAGGGTCTCTCTCCAGTCAGGATGCTAGGGGGCCTCAGGGCGATCATCTGGTCGCGGGTGAAAACAATGCGACTCCTCGTCGCCATGGAGACCAGCGTAAACAAAAAATAAAAAGTGCTCAAAAACGCCAAAAAAGTATTTAGGCGACGTGAACAAAGTAGTAAGAAAGTAAGAAAATAGTTCAAAATAGCAAAAACACACTGAAAACACAACTACAACAATGAAAGGAGCTGCCATGACAGGCTGCCGTTGTCGCCGGCGCCATTCCACACCACACATATAATTATCAACCACTCAAAGCACTCTACATTATAATCTACATTATATCTCAGAGGGCACGTTTCAACAGAACCAGTACTGTTACTTTTGACACTTTTTCGTTTTTCGAGTATTTTTACACACATATTTATTGGTACTTTTGCTAATACTTTTTCCAGCACAGAAGCTGCAAATCATAAGCCATAAATCAGATGTGAGATGAAAAAACAGAACCTTTTCTGTGACATGTTTATCCACATTCCTCATTCTTCATTTTGTTCCTGTGGCACCTGAGGCTTGGGATTTGCGAGGCTTAGTTTGTCTGCATCCTAATCTTTAACAACTAAAATAGCTCAAAGCTGATGCCTCTCACTCTCTCCCCACTTAAGGTTCTCCCTCACTGAACAATGACAGTGGTAATCACAGAAATGTCTTGATTTAATCGTCCAAAAGCAGAAAAATAATGGACATTTTAAAGACTCTACTATCACTTTTTTTCTGTATTAAGCAAATTATTTCATTTTGCGTGTAATTTGACTTTTCCCGCAGTTGTATTCCATGCCATCTCCTACTCTATGGCTTATTGTTACTGTTCTGGTGACTAAGCTCTTTCAGAGATGCTGGGGCATGAACAAAGCCAGTGATATCTAGTGAATTCTCATTACAAGGGGATTATCATATGTGCCAGCATGCATTCCACTCCCACATCATTAAGTGTTTTGGACCATTTACAGCCAATTACACCATTGCTAATGCTTTTTTTTTTTTGCGCCCACCCTTCCCCCCAGGCCGATGATGATATTTGACATGTTTTGACAACTCAGCATGAATATGTCTTCCAAGGCTTGTTTGCACTGGATTGGACTACCAGGTATCATCACTATTTGCTCTGTAGCAGACATCTTGTTTCTTCTGTGTTACTAAACATCAGTAGTTCCTATTGCAGCTCTCTATGTCACATATGCTCCCGATAGAAGCGAGAAACTGGTACAGTGTAAATGCTGATCTAAGAGATCTATTAATGCTTAATGAGCCATTAATATTCTCGAATGAGCAGTAATCCCAGTTAACATGTCTCTCCCAGCTGGAAGATGCACTGTTACCTGGTTCACAGCAGGTTGCTTCAATTAGACGCCTACTGCACAGCCTCAGCTGCACAACACAAGCCCGGAGTGTGAATATATTGTAAGGAGCACATACAGATTTCAGTTATTATGGTGTGATTGGCATTAGGTGTTTACCTACAAATTTGGGGAGGATTTTTTTTTTGGGGTTTTCTTTTTCTTTTGGGTGGAGACAGCAATTGCGCAGTCCCTTGTGGCATTTAGTTGAAGAGTTTCTGGTTATGGTTAAAATGTGTTCAGTGCTAATTACAGTAAGTATGCATTTTGGTTTAAGATGGCTTGGTTGGTTGCTGCAGTTTTCCCACTTGGTAGCTGAGAGTAAATCTGTTGCAGCTTAAACTCTGTAACTGGCAGTGAATGTGGGTACAGCTATTGTATGTGCTCGGGATCATATGAATAATAAAAAATACCCCACATTAATAGTTTGAAGATCAGGGCTGTGGTATTAGTTAGCCTATAGTGGGCGGGAGACTCCTGTATTTGTGTAGCCTTTCCTTTTAGCTTTGTTAAAGGAATAGTTTGACATTATGGGAAATAGCATAGAGACTGGAAACAGCTGCTTGCATGACTCTGTACAAAGGGAACAAAATCCTCCTACAAGCACCTCTAAAGTTCCCTAATTCACAAATGATATCTCATACATTTTTGTTTTGTCTGTGCGGTTATGTGCTGAACTGTTTCTTCAGTGACTTCCTGAACTTGTTTGTTTAATCCATACAGAAACTGAAGTGGTTACAGGGGAGGTTATGTGCCAGACTATTTCTTGGCTGTGAGCAGTGATCCTCTTGCAGTCTTGTCATCACTGTAAGGTTGTCAGGAAACCACAGGAGACTCCTGGAAGTCACTGAGGAAATAGTTTGGCACATACCCCCAAGTAAAACTGGAAATGTCTTTAATGTACATTTTGGGGTACCAGCACCAGTTTTGTGTTGCATCAGCTTTGTTGAAGGTGTCATTTGGTCAGGGAGTTGGCACACACACTATTGTCCTGTGCACTCTCCAATATGTTTTTTGCTCTGCTGTCTTATGTGTCTCAGTCTTAAATATACCTCCTAAGGCTGTTGACATGCGAGAAGGCTGGGTGAGCAGAAGGTATCTGTGTGGTACCTATGGCAGGGATGTGTAGAAGGGGTGATTTGAGGAATATATATATTTTGGCTGGAAAAAAACTGAAGACTAACTGGTTAAGTTTGTTGAATTTGTATATTCTATTAACTAGTTTTCTAGTTTAGTCATCCTTTTAGTTTATCTTTATTACACATTCTCTTTCAGTAATGCAAAATAAACGCATATCCCTCCTTTGTCCAAGTTT